TTGTTTTGTTTTGTTTTGTTTTTCGAGACAGGGTTTCTCTGTGTAGCTTTGGAGTCTATACTGGCCCTCGCTTTGGAGACCAGGCTGGCCTGGAACTCAGAGATCCGCCTGCCTCTACCTCCCGAATGCTGGGATTAAAGGTGTGCACCACCAACACCCAGCAAAAAGTTATATTTTTATAAGGATGCTTGGAAGTTGATTAAATTAGTTTTCCCTTTATTAACAGTGTTATTTGGGACATACAAATACTATCTTCTCTTTAAAAAAACCTTTTGTTTGTTGGGTGTTGGTGGTGTATGCCTTTAATCCCAGTAATTGGGAGGCAGTGAGAGGCAATCAGGACTCTTGAGTTCGAGGCCAGGCTGGTCTACAGAGTGAGTTCCAGGACAGGCTCCAAAAGCTGTAGAGAAACCCTGTCTTAAAAAACAACAACAAAAAACCCCTTTTTTTGTAGCACAGGGATTTTATAAGGAAAAGGAAAGTAATGTAAAGGAAAGTGTAATGTAAAAAGGTACTTAAGCTGTTGAAGAAATTTTGTTAAAAAGTTCATGAATACTTTTTTTGTTTTTTTTTGTGACAGGGTTTCTCTGTGTAGCTTTGGAGCCTGTCCTGGCACTCTCTGTCTCAAAACAGGACTTTTTGAGACTTTATGGCTTAATAGATTATTATCTATAATGAAGGATGAAGAGAAAGTCCTAATTGTGTTTCAACAGTTGAGGGGACTAAATCTAGAATTTACATTGTTTCAGTTTCATACAATTTTCAAAGTCATTTTGTCTTTCTGAATGAGCTGTGCTGTGTGACATATAGTACTTTAGCACCAAATAATAAAGGCTTTGATACAACTTCCAAGTTTATAGGCTTGGTTTAAGGAGTAGAGTGGTATCCTCAGAGGTGACAATGCCAGTAATGGCATTGTGTGTCCAGGAGTAGGGTACAAGAATTTATTGGGTAAATCCAGAGTTGGTAAGTAATCAAATAGTTGCAGTCTTTTTAAATGGGTTTTTATTAGCAGAGTGGATATATCTTTTTTTTTTTTTTAAAGATTTTATTTATTATGTATACAACATTCTGCTTCCATATATATCTGCACATCAGAAGAGGGCACCAGATCTCATAATGGATGGTTGTGAGCCACCATGTGGTTGCTGGGAATTGAACTCAGGACCTTTGGAAGAGCAGTTGGTGCTCTTAACCTCTGAGCCATCTCTCCAGCCCCAGAGTGGATATATCTTAAGTTGTGGATGGATTGATTTTAGTTTTTATTGCTCAGTAATTAATTGGACACTAAAAACTAATATTTACAGGATCCTGAAATTTTGATTAGTATACATAAAAGAGTGTTCTAATACAGATTGTACATATTTATATGGAGGAATGTTGCTAAGATAATTGAACAGATTTGAACAGGATTGACTATTAACTAACTACTGTTGGCTAAGTACTATGTGAATGAAGCATTAATAATATTTGGACTTTTCAAGGCACTCTTGGAAAGAACAGGCTATACACTTGATGTGACTACCGGACAGAGGAAGTATGGGGGACCACCTCCAGATTCCGTTTATTCAGGTCAGCAGCCTTCTGTTGGCACCGAGGTAAACAAACTTAAAACCTTGTATTATTTGTAGTAAAAGTGACAGGTATCTGATTTTCTAAACAATTCTCCATGATTGTGAATTTATATTAATTTACAGATATTTGTGGGGAAGATCCCCAGAGATCTATTTGAGGATGAGCTTGTACCATTATTTGAGAAAGCTGGACCTATATGGGATCTTCGTTTAATGATGGATCCACTTACTGGTCTCAACAGAGGTTATGCGTTTGTCACTTTTTGTACAAAAGAAGCAGCACAAGAGGCTGTTAAATTGGTAAGTTGTCCCCCCCTCCTTTATTAGTCTTTGTTTTCTATCCTTAATGTCAAGTTTTCCTTATGTGCTATAATAGGCAGTTTTTGAAGTGCTGCAGAGGCAGCGTGCTTTTTACTTCTCCTAAGAAAATATTATAGCAGGGATAGTGGATAGGATTCAGGATCTGTTAATTTTATAGAATTCCTAGTTGATTACTGAATATGTCTTTGGAGACATCTTTTAAGTTGAAAGGAATGTAAAAAGGTTTACGATGTGGCTCCCAAAGGTTTTTCCCAAACCTGGACCATATTTTTCCCTTTATCAGAAATTCACAAAAGAGGGCTGAAGAAATGGCTCACTGGCTGCTCTTTCAGAGGCCCCATGTTCAACTCTGAGCACCCACAGAGCAGCTCACAACCATCTGTAACTCTAGTTCATGGGGATCTAATGCCCTCTTCTGGTGGTACCAGGCATGCATGTCGTATACAAACATATCTGCACATAGGCCAAACATCCATATACTTAATAATAAAACAGAATCAAAAAATAAATATTCAGCTGGGTGGTGGTGGTGCACACCTTTATTCCCAGCACTCAGGAAGTAGAGGGATCTGTGAGTTCCAGGTCACCCTGATCTATAGAGTGATTCCAGGACAGTCAAAGCTTCACTGAGAAACCTTGTCTCAACCAACCAACCAATAAACACCAGGATGATAATTTCTGGTAGCTATATGAAGGATTTGTTGTGAGTGGGAATATCTGATTTAAAAACCAGATACTAGGTGAGAATCTAATTATCTTTTTATTCTAAAAATGCTAAAAAATAATGGCGTATATAACATTTCTTTTATTTAAATTCTACAAATTGAAAAGATTGAATAAGGTGTCATGAATACCTGAGGCACAAGGATTACCATGATTGAGGCTAGCCTAGTAGGGTGGTGAGAAAACCAATAAGGTATACACACATACTCGCACATCACCACCAGCAACAACGAAAATTAAAGGTCAATAACTTGAGAGAGCAAGGGAGTGTATGTACATGGGAAGAGTTGTAGGGATGAAGGGAAAAAGGAAGTCATGTAATTATATTTTAATTTCTAAAAATTACATTTTTTTTCTTTTTTGTTTTTCAAGACAGGGTTTCTCTGTATTGCTTTGGAACCTGTCCTAGAGCTCACTCTGTAGACGAGGCTGGCTTTGAACTCCGCCTGCCTCTGCCTCCCAAGTGCTCCGGTTAAAGGCATGCCCACCAATGCCTGGAGCAAAAAAGTTTAAAAGCCAGGCACAAAAAAGTTTAAAAGCTAGGATGTGTTCTTTTACACTATGTAGCTTTGGCCTATTTAAAACTTGAAGTTGTAGGCCAGGCTGGTTTCAAGCTTCAGAAATCTTCTTACCTCTTTCTCTACATACATGCCTATAATATCTGTAGACAACTTATCTGTTTTGTGGAATCTAAACAAATTTAAAATCTTCAGGCTGATTTCTCCTGAAGATACTTAAAGAGGAAGTTTATTTATTCATTTACTTATTTTTAAGACTGTCTCACTGTAGCTCTGGGACTCAGACCTGCCTGTTTCTGCTTCCATAGTGCTGTGATTAAAGGCAGGCACCATCATGCCTTTTTGTTTGTTTGTTTGTTTGTTTGTTTTTGAGACAGGGTTTCTCTGTATTTGGAGGCTGTCCTGGAACTAGATTTTGTAGACCAGGCTGGTCTTGAACTCAGATCTGCCTGCCTCTTCTTCCTTACTGCTAGGATTAAAGGCGTGTCCACCACCTCCCAGTTGGAGGATCCCAGTTTAGTTCCCAGTATTCACAAGGGGTGGCTCATAGTCTTCTGTACTCAAGGTTCGGCAGTCCAGCACCATCTTCTGGACTCTTGGGATGCCTGCAATTAACATAGTCACACATAGAAATGAAAAAAATTAAAAAAAAAAAAACCATAAATGCTTAGAAGACACTTTAAATGTATACTAAACAAAATATCAGCTGGCTTCTTTGGGCCTGCCGGTGAACTCCCAGCCATAGAATTGTAGCAGCATAGAATTTATTGTATTGGACCTGTATTCTTTTTCATGGAGGCAGCCTTGTATCCAATTAGAAAGTGGTTGGTTATGTCACTACTGCACTTAACTGCATAGTCCTTAATTTTCTGGCATAATGGCATAGCATACATAACCCCATATTCTGAAATGCCCTAAAATTGACCCCCCCTTCTTTTTTTTTTATTAACAAAGGATACCCAAAGGATGGCCTTGAATTTGCTGTGTGTATTCTGGATTCTTCTGAATCTTAACCTCTCAAGGTCCATGACTGGGTTGAAATCAAAACTCCTTTGCCAGGTGTTGGTGGCACATGCCTTTAATATCAGCTTCCTGGGAGGCAGAGGCAGGCGGATCTCTGAGTTGGAGACCAGTTTGGTCTACAAGAGCTAGTTGCAGGACAGCCTCCAAAGCCACAGAGAAACCCTATCTTGAACCACCCCCCCAAAAAAAATCTTTTGTATACTGTATCAGAATGGTATGTCACCATCATTTTAGGCAGACTTCAAGGGGGAAATTTTGAATATTTTACAGTTCTCTATAACTTTTGCTGATGAGTATAATTTGAATATGTAGTCTTAATATTAGGAAAGTATGTTTCTTGATTGCTTTAAAGAGAATTCAGGAATTTAGATATTTTTAAAAGTAATAGCTAACTTTTTCCTTAAAAAATGCTGTTTTTTTCAGAGGAATTATGATATAGCTCTTTTGGGAGCCACTCTCTTGTAGCCTGGTCACCTTTGAGCTATCAAGTTAGGTGAAATGAAGGACTTCCTGAAGCTTTAGAAATCATCTCCTTGAGGCTAGGGAGATGACTCAGTGACCTAGTGCCTGCTATGCAAACTTGGAGATAGGAATTCAGATCCTCAGCACTCATGTAAAAGACAGGCTTGGTGATAAATTTGTGTAATCCAAGCACTGGGGTATGTGAACTCTGTCCAGGTTCATTGAGAGACCCAGTCTTAAAAATAAGATGGGAGTTGGTAAGGGAAGATACCCAGTGTCAACTAGCTTGTGTGACCACTGTAAACATGGGTACATAACACATTAAATAATCATTTGCTTGGGGTATTAAATAACACTATTTTTGCTAGGTAGCAAAGTAGCTTAAAAAGTTTTTCTTTTTACATGTATGGGTGTTTTTCCTGCATGTAAATCTATACCACTTGTGTGCCTGGTGCCTGTCGAGTCCAGAAGAGGGTGTTGGATCCCTGGAACTGGAGTTAACAGAGGATTGAGAGCTGCCAGGTGGGTGCTGGGAGTCGAACCTTGGGTCATCTTGAAGAGCAGTTGGTGCTCTTAATGACAGAGCCATTTCTTTAGCTCCTTAAAAATCACTATAAGCTAAAAGCCTTTTAAAGTTGTAGTAATGTAAATGATAGACAAAGAAACATCTTACTAAAGAATAGCTGGCCGGACATTGGTGGCTCAAGCCTTTAATCCCAGCACTCGGGAGGCAGAAGCAGGCGGATCTCTTGAGTTTGAGGCCAGCCTGGTCTACAGAGAGTTCCGGGACAGCCTCCAAAGCAAAACCCTGTCTCGAAAAGAAAAGCTGGTAGAGAATTTTAGCAAATAGATACCAGATTCAACTTCTTGGGGGAAAAAGTATTAAATTAGCATTAATATCAAAGTTTTAAAAAAGATTTATGTGTGACTGTTTTCCTTGCATGAATGCATGTGGGTTTGTGTTTGCTTGTTGCCAGAGGTAGTTGGAAGAGGGAATCTAATCTTGTGAAACTGGAGTTAAAGGTAGTTGTGAAATACCATGTGGGTGCTGGTAATTGAACCTGGGTCATCTGCAAAAACAGCAGTACTCTTAATTGCAGATCAGTTTTTCATTCCTATAGACTACTTTTTTGCTATCAGACTCTCATTTCTAGATGAATTCAAGAAGCATTAAATAGTGACAACATATAATTCACTATTAACATAAATTCCAATAAATAGACTGAGATGCTTTAGAAAACTATGGTTTAACAAATACAATCAAAAATGGTTGTTGTTTGTGTAGTTTTGACACATCGTGTATTAATAATAGTATTAACTCTTAATTCAGAAACTTAACGTAGATGACCATGTGGGCTTTTTGATTGGTCTACAAACTCTCCTTTCCTTTCCTAGTTCCTTAACCTTTCCATATTTGTAGGTTTTTCTGCTTAAGACTCAGGTCTTTGTATGGGGTCATAATGTTTCACTTGTGGGTAAATAGGAGACTTTGCAGTTAGGTGCCTTTTAAGATATTCATGGTGACACTTCGGTCCACTGGAATCACGTGGATGGATGTTCGTTTTTCTTTCTTTTTTTTAAAATTTTTATGCATTTAAAAGTTAGCTCTGTATATAAATGCTTTGTCTGCATATATGTATGTGCACCATGTGTGTGCCTGGTGTGGGGGGCTGTGATAAGAAATAGGTATCAAATCCCCAAGCACTGGGAGCTACAGATGGTTTGAGTCACCTGTGGGTGCTGGGAATTGAATCTGAGTCCTCTGGCAGAATAGCTAGTACACTTAGTTAACTATTGATCTATTTATTCTTCCAGCCCCTGTAAAAACTGTTAACTTTTTTTTTTTTTTGAGACAGGGTTTCTCTAGCTTTGGAGCCTGTCCTGGAACTTGTTCTGTAGACCAGGCTGGCCTTGAACTCAGAGATTGCCTGCTTCTGCCTACCAAGTGCTGGAATTAAAGGTTTGCCCCACCACCTCCCAGGTTAACATTTTGTCTGTCTGTATTTCTGGAATGCATTTATACAGTGCCATTGGAAGTCAGAAGATTAGCTGCCATAAAAGTACTGGGAAGTGAATCCCCAGTCCTGGAAGAGCAGCTGGTATTCTTTTTTTGGGTGGCGGGGTGGGGTGGGGTTCAAGACAGGGTTACTCTATGGCTTTGGAGGCTGTCCTGGAACTAGCTCTTGTAGACTAGGCTGGTCTCAAACTCAGAGATCCACCTGCCTCTGCCTCCTGAGTGCTGGGATTAATTGT